CTTTTGTGTGTGTGTTGTTTTTCTAATAATTCCATTACTTGCTTTTCCCGTTGTGTGTGTTTGCAGAAAACTGGGCTGTTCTGTTCACTGACGGTATACATCTCTTGCTAGTACACAGATGTGTGTGTGTGCAGTAATTTAATATACATAAACTAGAGCCATGAGGTATTGTGTGTGTGTTTTGGCTCTCTCTTATTTGGGTAATGTGGGGTGTTCTTTTTTTCTTTCTTTTCTATTAAGGGGTACATATTATTATTATACAAGCGGAATATTCCCTTTTGTTGGTTTACTGTGCTGTTACTGCTTCTCTCTCTCTTTTCCACTGTGAGTATTTGTTGTATTGGTGTATGTTTATTTGTTTGTTTCTATCATAATTTTTTTCTTTCTTATTTTTCCTTGTATTAGTCTATTGGAGTAAACAGCAACAATGATAATGGCTGTAATGGTGAGGTGTTACCTGCTCTGTTTATTAACTCTTGCACTATGTTGTGCTTGTGGGTTAGTATGGGCTGATAGTCCTAAAGCTTCTGATGCCCTAATTAAACCTTCTACTGTTGGTGTTCCCCCTCTTGTTCGTCGTTCTATTCCTTCTTCTGGAGTTCCTGGCGAGGCTAAAGAAGGTGATGATATGCAGGATGTGCAGAAGGAAGAATTGATGGAAAACCCTGAAGAACAGGAGGATGAAGTGGAAGAGAATGTTCGTGAGACTCTTGGTCCTGGTGCTGGTGGTTCTTGTCCTTCTGGTTCTGATAGTAGTAATTGTCCTTCTGGTCATTTTTTTGGTGGTCATAGTTCTTCTTCTGATTCTCTCTCTGAAAATGGGGTTCGGGGTGCTGGCACTGCTCCTATTGTTCAACCCCAACAACCTCCTTCACCTCCTACACTTCCTCTTCAGCAATCTGCGCCTGGTGCCACTTGCACTCCGACTTCTCCTGATCATCCTTGTACAACTGCAACAAAGGAACTGACTCCAACTAAACCAGTAATACCTACTCCTGAAGAGGCTGGACATGGTGCTCTTGTCGATGTTCCTTCTAATAAAGATGGTCATCGTGCTGCTGATAGGACTGGTGCTCACGTTACATTAGGTGATGCTGCTCCTGGGATTGGTTCTGGTTCTGGTACTGATGATACCTCTTCTTCTTCTAATCATTCTACTGCATCTCCTCCACCTGCTGCTTCTGCTCCTGCTAGTGATCCTCAACCTGGAAACAGCGACAACCATGCATCCACTGCAGCAGATAACCAGGGAAGTGCGGGAACACAACCTTCTTCTTCTATCACCAGCAGTTCAGAAACAGTGAGTTCCGGTAGTTCTGAAGGCACTACAGCTGGGAATGGCACTACATCTGCAGTGAGTGGTTCAACAAGTACCCAAGAGAGAAATGTGGGAAATACAGATACGACCAACACCACCACCACCACCACAACAACAACAACAACACTTCCTCCTGAACTCACAAACAACAAGAAGGGAGATGCCGACAGCAGCAGCAGTATCAGCAGTTCTGTGTGGGTGCGTGTATCACTACTGATTGTGGTTACACTGGCCTGTATTCTTGTGTGCTGATTGAGTAATGGTGGTGGTGTGACTCAGGTCATCCTTTGTTTTCTTTTTTGCATACATCCCTTACAGTCTAACTAATATTCCACCTGTGGGGATTCTTTTGTTTTTTTTGTTTGTTTCTTAATGTTAATGTGTTTTTGCTCTTTGTGTTTATCCTATAATAATTATTATTGCTACTACTCCATTGTGTGTGTGTTCTTGGAGACTCTCTGTGTGTGCCTGGGCTTGCACTGTGATAATGATGATGAACTGCTTTTTACAGGAAAGGGAAAGGGAATAATAATAACAGATGAATTTATATTTATAATTGCGTATATACACACATATAGACTTACACCCATAGTTGCTGTATTTCTTTGTTTACGGGGTACGATGGGGTAATGGTTAATTTCTTTGTTTGCTTATGGTTTGGTTGAGGTGTCGTGTGTTTTGACTTGTACTGTAGCGGTGTTCTTCTTTCTGCACAGTCAGTACAACATAACAGACACATTTGTGATTATAAGTGAATAGTAATACAAGCATGATCGTGGATCTGCGGATTATTTGGTTATTGCTGTTTTCGCTGATTTTTATTTCTTTGTTTTTCTTTTCTGCAGTCTGGGTGAGGTGTACCTGTGTTTGGCTTTTTATTGGTTATCTGTTGTGTGTTACTGTTTCCTTTTCTGTGTTGTTTTCACTAGTTTCTGTGTTTGTGTATGTGGTTTTAGTTGTGTCTTTTATCTCTCTTTCTCTTCTTCAGTGTCACGTTTAGATAACACAAACAAGAAAACAAATTCTTGAAATGGTTGTGTTTCATGTGTTATGTTTTGTGACGTTGCTTGTGAACATTGTGTCTGTTGGTATTGTGGCTGCCACTCCTGCCGAGCCTCTCCCTGGTCCAGAATTACAGACTCCTGGTGGTCCTCATGCCGGTGGAGTTAAAGCTGAAATACGTGTTCAAGGTAAAGGTCAAGAAAATGATTCTGTTCCTGAAGTAGAAACTGATCGTGCTGCTCATTCTAACATTGTTTCTGTACAGGAGGAGATGCAGCAGGGCCCGGGTGGACAGGATGCACGTGATGCCCATGGTCATGATCCCAACAAACAGACTTCAGCAACATCTGTCGTTACCGCACAACCCTTAAATGCTGAACATCGTCCTCAAGGTTCTCAAGGGCCTGTTCATACTGGAACTCGTCTCCAAGGTCCACCAAGTGAAGCTGCTGCTCCTCCTGGTGCTCCTTCTGTTGCTCCTCCTCCACCCACTGCTGCTGATGCAGGGACTACCGATTCGTCTCCATCTGGAGGTCCAACTGGAGCCAACGTCAACAATTCAGCAGGTGAAGGTGCAGTCAACGCGGAGAGTACAGCAACAGCACAACCCACTTCTCCTTCTCCCGAATCTTCAGACACAGAGACTGCCAATGGTTCTGGCACTGCAAACGATGGGGGTGGCAGTACACCTGCAGGGAGTGAACCATCCAATAACCCAAGTGATGCAGATAATACAGATACCACCACTACCACCACCAATATAATTCCTACTGAGCCTGCAAACAACAAGAAGGGTGATGCAGACAGCAGCAGCAGTATCAGCAGTTCTGTGTGGGTGCGTGTGCCACTACTGATTGTGGCTACACTGGCCTGTATTCTTGTGTGCTGATTGTAATGGTGGTGGTGTGACTCAGGTCATCCTTTGTTTTCTTTTTCTTCTTTTTTTGCATACATCCCTACAGTCTAACTAATCTTTCACCTGTTGGGATTTTATTCTTCTTTTTTTATTTCTTAATGTTAATGTGTTTTGTGTGTGTTTTTGCTCTCTATGTATTTATCCTAAAATAATTATTATTATTGCTACTCCATTGTGTGTGTGTGTGTGTTCTTGGAGACTCTCTCTATGTGTGTGCACCTGGGCTTGCACTGTGATGATAATGATGATGATGAACTGCTTTTTGTAGTGGGAAAAAGAAAATAATAATAACAAATGAATTTATATTTATAATTGCGTATATACACACTTTTAGACTTATACCCATAGTTGGTGTATTTCTGTGTTTACTTGGGTAAATTGGGCTAGTGGTTAATATCTTTTTCTTTTGCTTGATGATTTTGCTGGGTGGTTCAGCCTTTTTTGAGATATTTATGAGTGTGGGCTTTTTTGTTTTTGTTTTAACTCTTACTGAGATTATTACGCTGTATTGTGTTCTTTAACTCGTAGGTTTTTCTTTTGCGATATAAGTCTCTTTTGTTGTGGTCGATTTGTGTGTCCTAACGTGTTTGATACTTCATTTCATTTTCTTCTTTGCTCTTTTTGATTGTCTTTCTTTCTAGATCAGTGTTTTTACGCAAACCAAACNATGGTTAATATTAACATAATCATAATTGCGTACATCCACCATGGGTGAATGAAAATAATAATCTGTTTACTTGCTTTATCTTTTAATTGGAATATTTTTTTTGTACTACTTTTATGTATGTGTGTGTTCTTTTTCTAATAATTCCATTACTTGCTTTTTCCGTTGTGTGTAAGTGTCTGGAAAACTGGGCTGTTCTGCTCACTGACAGCATACTTTTATTCTAAATATAGACATGCATTTGTGTGCAGTAATTTAATGTATAAACTAGAGCCGTGGGATATTGTGTGTGTTCTTGGAGACTCACTGTGTGTGCCTCTGGGCTTTCACTGTGATGATGATGATAATGAATTGTTTTTTTGTAGTGAAAAAGAAATAATAATAACAGATGAATATATATTTATAATTGCTTATTTATACACCTATAGACTTGCACCCATAATTGGTGTATTTCTGTTTTT